CCCATCTTCTGTTTGTCTTTGGGTGCCTTTCTCCCATGCTGCCCTGCCTCTCTGCCCTGCCTTTGCCTCTTTAAGAGGTTTTCCTTCTCTGTGCCCTGGACTGGAGATTCTGGACTAGTCGGCAGATGATCTCCCTTTTCCAGCTCTCTCTCTCTCTCTCTCTCTCTCTCTCTCTCTCTCTCTGAAAGCCCCTGAACCAGAGTTTAGGTATGACTCTTCACCCTACCTGTTTTCCAAGCTTTGGATCTAGAGACCTAGTGGGCTCCAGGTTTTTCAGTCACCGAGTGTCCCCCCTTGAACTACCTGAGCTGCTTGGTTCTTTTGTCCACATGATACAGTCTAGAGTTATCTGAGAAAAGGGAAAATCATTTGAGAAAATGACCTCATCAACTAGCCTCTAGGCAATTTCTGTGGGACATCTTCTTGATGGATGATTAATGTGGGAGGGCTCAGCTCACTGTGAGTGGTGCCACCCCTGGGCAGGTGGTCCTGGATGGTATAAGAAAGCCTTGAGGAGTGGGGGAGGAAGCAGATTAAGTTCCTGCCTCTAGGTTCCTACTCTGACTTCCCTCCATGGTTGACTATAAGCTTAAGATGAAATAAACCATTTCCTCTCCAAGTTGCTTTTAGTCATAGTGTTTTATCACAGAAATAGAAATCAAACTAGGACGCCATCTTGTCTTAAACTATGGTGTCCACACACTGCTTTCCTGTCTGCCTCACTAGCCTCCTTGCTGTTTCTCTGGACCTGGCCACCTCTGAGGGGTCCATGGCTCTGCTCTTTCAGGCAGTCATTTTCTGCCTCTGCCACTTTCATACTCACCCATCCCTCCCCACTGACACTTCCTGCCTTGATCCTAATCTCCGTTTACTGACCTAACTAAAATGAATTCTTCTGTACTGGGGACCCCGCAATGCCCCAACTTTACAGTCCATTCTTCGTGATACAGCTGAAGCTGGGTCTCCAGAGCTACCCCTTTGTCCTGACAGGTATCACCTCTCTTCAGACTCTTCCGCCACCCTTGTGGGATGCAGCCCCACACTCTGCAAGGCTCACACTCCACTTCGCCAGCATCTCTGTGTCAGCACTGGGCACACATGCCCCACTGCACCATTGCTAGCCCCCAGCTTTTGCTCAGGCTTCACTTCCTGCCCCCGAAGGCCTCTCTCTCTGCCTCTCCTTTTTTTGCTTTCTTCCTACCTTTTGGTACCCCCAATGACCCCTACATTCTGATACTGTGTTGACACTATTGATGGTGTCCCATTGTGCCTTGAGGTTTCGCTGTTCTCTCCATGACAGCAGTTTCTTTGTCTCCATTTTCCACTGGGTTCTGAGCTCTTATGGACCCTCTGACTTGCCATAGCAGCAACCGTCCCAATGGTGCTCAGTAAGCACTTGAATATAGCAATCCACAAAATAGTGATAGGCACTTGGTACTCCTTTTATTCACTGTGCAGAGGTGCGTGAGACAGCTCTAGCCTGTAGTGAGTAAAGCTGGAGGGAATACAGTGGTGACCGTGGGCTTCTGGGAGACCCAGTGGCTAGCACAGAGGCTTCCAGATTTCTGCCTACATTCCATCACTTGCTGATATGGCTCTACCAAGTTCCTTGACTCAGCCGTACCTCAGTTTCCCCATCCTTGAAGCAATAATACGTGTCCCTGCTTCAAGGTTCCTGGGATGGGTTAGATGCTTTCGTGCCTGGGCAGCCTGTGGAGGGAGGTGCCATTAATTCCTTTTTACAGATGAGGAAGCTGAGACCCAGAGAGGTGATGCTCCCCAGCTAAGGTGTAACCGATGGTGGGAAACAAAGCTGGCCTTGAGCCCAGCTGTTTGGTATGTGTCAAGGGCTGGAGTCACCTGGCCCTATCCCTCCAGGGAGATTTCAGCCTCCAGGGGCATGTCTCCAGAAATATGCTAAAAGGTGCTCTCTGGATCTGCTCCAAAGCCAGTGCGGAGTGCTCAGCTAGCGTGACTTGCATATGCTCTTCTCCCCAAGAAGTTCTGGCTAGTTCTGAGTGCTGAGTGTGTCCGCTCTGGGCACAGTGTCCAGAGGTCCGGTCCTGGGTCCTTGCCGGCCAGCATGTTGGCAGCGAGCTCTTCCTCATTCAGCTGCCTCTTGTGCTCCAGTACTTTATGGGGGAGGGTCATTAAAAAAGCTTTTTCCCAGGAAGAGCTATGCCTTCCCTGAGTCTCTGCTGTGGATTGGCCCAGCCCCCATGCTCTCAAAAGCTGCCCTTGTGGGTTTCAAAACAGTCCTATAGCCCAGTAGACTGAGAACCTCATCCACCAAGCCCAGCTTTCCTCCAGAACCTTCTGAGTGACAATCAGCATTGGTTCAATGTAAAGAAAATAGTTTGACGATGTTTTCAAATAAGAGTCTGGTGGAACAAAAGAGCAGTTCATCTGCTCTGGCTTTTTGTGTTGTGCTTCCCAATCGGGAAATGAGATGCTTCAGTTAAGTGAGGGGGCGCCAGAGCTGGCTGCTCAGGACTAAGGCTCACAGCTTCCAGAGAGTGGAGCCAGCTCACTCCTAGCAGGCTTGTTCCCTCCTTCCTCTCTCCATCCTTGTGTATTTTTAGACTTCAGATCCACAGTTCAACAGACAAGTCCATCAATCTGAACACACACACACACACACACACACACACACACACACACACACACACAAGCTAGGTAACCTGTATGTTTTTTTCATAAGTGGTCCCAAACCTAGAATAGATGGACACAGAGCATGCCATGTCATGTCCGTGCACAGCAACCCAAGGTCTTGTCTAGATCATTCCTCCTTGACAACCAATAAGCTATCTTTTGGGGTGTTTGGAGTAGCAATTACAAGACAACAGATGTATATCTGTGACTGGGTTCTTAAAATGTAAACAGGAGAGGCAGTGAGCACCCTGAAAGTCCCTGTACAATTTAGGGAGTGGTAACATTTTGCAGGAAAACTTTTATCCCTGTAGTAACTCTTCAAAAGCTCCATTATACATGAGCAAGAAAAGAATGTTGTTGTTTTCTACCTTTGAGATCTCTGGGGGGGGGGATGCCTGTTACTATGGCAAAGCTCAACCTGTCCTGACTGCTACAGAGGGCCCAAATTAAGCTTCCTGTAAGAAATTATAGGTAAGACATGCTTTGAAGGGTGAATGGAACTGGCCCAGGGGAGGAAGGTAGAGGAGCTTTCATCCCTCATTTCCTGTCAAGAAAAAGGCAAAGTTAAAAAATGCCTCAAGTGAGTGGCAATTGTAAGTCTCTTGTTGTAACTCCCCCGCTTCTGTCAAATCCAAGGGTTTCATTTGGTAAGAAATCCATGGCCCAGTGCTCCCAGGGATCTGCTTGACAAAGGTGCTTCTCAGTTTCCACACTAGACTTTCTTTAAGGTCTTTAAAGACTCATCATGTCTCTGTGAGGTGTGAGCACCACAGATGAATTCAAGCTGAAGATTGCTAAAGCACTCCAAGCAAGATCTATGGTCATTGTTGGGCCTGGCTAGCCAACACCTTTCTCCTCGCTTAACTCTCACTCCACTCTTGTCCAGCTTAGCCTAGTTGAGCATACTGACCTTCTAGTCTCAGAACCTAAGATATTGAGTGCCTAGCACATACTAGGCCCCAGGAGATGAGTACTGAGCATGGTTGCTCCTGTTTCTTCCAGCCGTGAGCTGGTTTCTAGTAACTCAGAGGCTGCCCACAGTCTGATTTTGTTTGGGGGCCTGCCTGATTTCTCCAGCAGGGGCTGGGGCTACAGGGAGCCTGCTGACCAGTGCTAATTGGTGTCATTGAGTAATTAATGCAGAATCAGACCCGAGCTGATTCCCAGGGAGACAGACACTGAGGGTGGCTTTCATGCTTGGTGGGATGGGAGTTCCTTTCTCCGGGGACATTCTCAGAGCACTGAAGGCGACTGGCACCGTCTGGTGGGGGTGGCTTGGCAGCCAGAATGGGGTTCGTGGAGCAAGTGTGGAGGGGGTTTGTGCTAGTGCCACGGTTGGACACAATATGGAGCGTGGCAAGTTTGACTTTAAAGAAACACAACCCCAGGGTGGGCTCTGGGAGCCAGGCATGTGTCAGCTCTGAAGAATTGATGCACTCTTGGAGAAGGCCATGGCAGAGGCACTTCCAGCATACCTGGTATCCTCAATGCTCTATAGCCTAGGTCCTCTTAGTATGGGACCTCTCCCCAGTAGCATGGGTTCTCCTCCTCCTTGGCATGGATCCCTCCTCTGTGTTCTCCTCCCCCAATTCCGTCTGCCCTCTGTGCCCTGCGCCTCTGTCCCTGAAATGCACCACACTCTGTCTCTAGAGGTGTCACTTAGCTTAGAACAGTCTCTACTCCTCCCTTCAGGGTGCAGATCTTGCATCCCTTCTCCCGGGAAGTTTCCAGGGGCTCCCTACAGCAGCAAAGATGGGTCATGTTATGTTGCAGTGACAAGAGCTCCAGAAATCTGAGTGACACAATCTATTGTCTTCTAGTATTGCTTGTACTGTGTCTTGGGCAGTTCCTTAGTAACGGGGCTTCTAGAGCCCTCACCATGACACTCTTCTTTGATCACAGTAAAGGGAGGAAAAAGGGAACTGGAGAGACATGACAGCCAGCTCTAGAAGCTTCTCTGTGGTTTGACACATGTTCCATAGTCCTGTGGCTGACCCTGAGTTCAGCAGGATTGCAATGTGTGGTCTTCTCCTAAAGACACAGACTATTTTCACAGTGGTTATGGTTTCCCAGATGCATCAGACTTGGTGGGGTGATTCCTAAGCCCATTGTGCCATACGCTTTTTTACTTGCCTCGAGAGTGGTTCCACGAAAACACAGGCTGGGTCTTGTCCTTCTCAGAGGCTCCCTGCTCAGCCCAGGGTCTCACAATTGGTGAATGACAGAGGCTGAAGGGGTGGGATCATTGGAGGGCATCCCATCCTTGCCCCTCTACTGTCCTGGCTCTACCACAGGTAGAAGCACAACAGCCATGTTTGGTCCAGTGACTCCCCACCCTCTCTCCACAGACGCCGGGTCTTGGCTATATCGGATGGCATTGAGCACATTGGGAACCTCCGTTGGGAGCTGGCACTGTGTCTCCTGGCGGCCTGGACCATCTGCTACTTCTGCATCTGGAAGGGTACTAAGTCGACTGGAAAGGTAAGATGTTAATGACTGAGAAGCTAACCCATAAGCAGAAGATGAGAAGTGACCTATATGTTGGTCACCAAGAAGCTCATGTTAGAAGAACCAGCTCTAAGTCGAGAGATGGGTAGAGCAATGGATGAGGAGCCCACGTGGGAGCTTCTCCACATAGCTGCCATACCCTAAAACTTTGGTTTTCTCCTCTGTGAAATAAAGGTGGTATACCTTTCCGAGTGAGTTGAGAGTCACAAAGGGAAGGCAGGATAAGATGTATTGAAAACTGAAATATGCTAAGCAGCTACGACTATGACAATTCTTATGCTACCGAGTCTGACTCCAGATACATACCAGGGCAGACCATGCTGACCTTGCCACTAAACACCCTAGCTCTGTCTATGTCTCACGTTCCTGCAGTGTGGCGTGGGGAGCAATGCCTTCTCTCACAGCGCTGCTGTGCCAGCTTTACGGGTGACCTTAAAGGTCACAATGGAGGAGGAAAGGGAGATAGTGGCCAACTCTGAACTGTCTGGGAGTTAGTTGCATGTGTCTCCTTTACTCACAGGCTACTGATCAGAACCTGGGTCATAACCTCTTCCAATCACAAGGGAGTTGGAAAGCCTGAGGGGGCTTTGGTTAGCACAGAGTGGACTGTGCTGCTGCCAGATTGATAGAGGAATAGAAATGTGACCCTGTGGGTATATCCAGCTTGCTTGTGTGTGGCTTAGACAAAAAAAAAAGGAATTACTGGCGATGTTTAGAAATCTGGTGTTCTGGTTGGCTACAGCCCTCCACTGTCCCCTGCTGCTCTTACTCCTGAGGCTGAGCATCAAGGCCGTTAGTCTTCTGTCTGGGACTCATTTCATTTTCTTGAGAAATAGGAAATCAAATTCTTACACCTGGGTCTCTCTGACTCTATCACTCTTCATGAACGTAGGTGACACAGATCATTGCTTGTCACCTGTGTTCTAAGTTCTTGTCTAAGGTGAGGGCTAGAAATGAGGCTACCAAGGACAGAGGGATGAGCAGGTCTGGGCCTTGTGAAAGCTTCTCCCCAGAGGTCCCTCAAGGCTTGGTGCAATGAAGAAACTGCTAGGGTACAAGAGACAAGGTGGTCCAAAGGAGGAAGCTGGGGAAACACAGAACACAGAAGAATGGCATATGGGCAAAGCAGGTGTGCTGAGAGGCCGTCACAGAGGTGCTTTGGAACCCCAGCAAGCAGAACAAGGACATTTGTGTCCCTCCAACCATGCCATCTGTTGACCTTTGCCTTCTGTGGGCTATGATGCCATGAAGCAAGAACATCCCTCTGTTTCTGCAAATAAAGAATGCTTATATTATTGCTATACTTGCAACTGTTGCCTTGCTCTCCCCGTGGCCCTCCTTGATGCCTCCTCTAGCTGGAGAAGGGGATAACTGGATTGTTAAGAGCCAGGCTCAGTGCTTGGAGAGCTGGCTTAGCAGCTGAGAGTGCTTGGTGTTCTTCTAGGGGACTTGAGTTTGGTTCTCAGCACCCATGTTCAGTGGCTCACAGTTTCCTATAACTTCAGCTCTAGGGAATCTGATACCTCTGGCCTCCACAGGAACCTGTGCTTGCATATATGTGCCAACACACACACACACACAATTTTAAAATTAATCTTAACAACAACAACAAAAGTGTCTGGAATCAGGACTCAATCCCCAAGTCTGTTGTTCAGTGAGTATGTTCTAGAATGCCTGGATTAACTTCTCTGAGATTGTTTCCCAGGTGTGAGCTTGCATGTTAGGGCTGAACAGTGTGGGGGAGCTCACAGCAGGACTGAATGAATGGAGGTTTTCAATAATCCTTTACATGGATGACCTATTATCTGAGGAGTCGGTTCTGAGCTGGGAGTGATGGTTCACACCTATAACCTCAGGGTTTGGGAGGCTAGGCTGGAGGACTGCGTTCAAAACCTGCCTGGGTTGTATAACAAGACTCTATTCAGAGAAAGCAAAGGAAGACCAGGAAGAGAGGGAGAAAAAGAAAAAAATATTAAAAATGTTTTTTGAGCCCTGCTGCAGACTAGTCTAATTCAATGGGTTTCATGTTTTTATTACATGTTTATGTATCTGATATACGTGTTGGAGGAGCCAGGGCATCAGAGGATAATTTACTGAAGTCGGTTCTCTCTTTCAACCATGAAGTTCTGAGGGATCAAACTCACGTTGTCAGTCTTGATAGCAAGTGATTTTCCCTACTGAGTCATCTTAACAGCCCTTGGTAGGTTTTTAAAAAAATGGGGAAAATGCATCCAGCACCCTTCTGAGTAGCTCTGTGGAAATGCCTAAGGAACCCAGAGGGGAAGCAATGTTAAGATAGCACAGCCCCCAAGTACTACCTCTTGGGCGCTGAGCCTACATCAGTGGGCTTGGCTGGGCAGCAGTGAGATGTGGCACTGACAGAGCTGGGGTTTATGTAGGAGAGCTGCCCATAAGAGCCCAGCATGCAGCCACAGCAAGATGCATGTGTTCTCCACCCTTGCATGGGCTGTGTGCTGTTGTCTGGGGTGGTAGACAGCCCAGTGCTGGAGAACTACTGTTGGGGAACTGAGCTCCAGGAAGGGCAGGTGCAGTCTGGGGGATTTCAGATAAAGCTGCCAAGAAGGAGAAGAATCGAGCATATCTTCAGCCATGTCTTCTCTCCTGGCCCTTCACATCTGCCTTGGACATCCCGTTTCCATGTTGTGGGGAGTTAGTATTGTATTTCACAAACAGAGAACCAGAGTCTGAGTGATCAAACAGCCCAGTCATAGGAGTCGTGTGACTGCCTCTGTCTCACCTCAGAACTTTGCACTCTGCCTCTCTTTGACTCTTGTTTTACCTTTATTCCTCCTGCCTCCACGTCCTGAGTGTTGGGATTACAGATGTATGTCACCACACCCATTGGCATGCACTTGACTAACATGTAGACTATTGTAGCATCATGAAGGGCACATCTTCCTTCGTTCCCTTGGTCATATCGTTGATAGAATTGACAACTACAGCTGCAATCAAAACCAGAGTTCATGGTGAAGCACTGCTGGTGGATGTTTCATTCAGGCCTCGGAGCAGCCCTGTAAGATGGAGGCTCAGTAGCTCTGTTTGCAGAGGCAGCAGATTGAGCATCTAACCAAAGCACCCTCAACAGGCAGCATCAGATGGGGCTGAAATCTAAGCGTTGGTGACTTCACAGCCCGTGTTCTGTATAAGGGCATAGTCATGCCACCTGCAGCATCCTGAGGACAGCGATGGATTTCTTATGTCTTAATTAGGTAGAAGTTAAGGAGAGTGCTTAGGTACTCGGGGGATGCTGCATATGTCTGAACAAGTGCTTTTCAAGGAAGTCAAGATGCTGGAAATAATGAGCTGATGAACCATACTCTTGCTGGCTGGCTTCCATAAGATGCTCCTTGTGTCCTCAATGCTACAGTGACATGAAGGATGAGAGCTATTTTGACAAAACTAAAACTCCTTAAGCTATTAAGCTCACACAACCCTGACTTTATGTATGAAGAAATTGAGGCATGGAGACAAAAGAGGACTTGTCCAGTCTTACAGAGCAAGCATGTCAGGCAGCTCATGAGCTTTTTATGAGTGCTGGGGTTCCAAGGCTACACCAACAACTTATGGAGGAACATTTGGTTTGGGGGGATGGTGTGTGGCATAGGTTAGCTACTGGGTTTTCCCCCCACTGCATCTTGGAGATGAGTCTGGAATCCAGAAGTCTTTTGGATTCTGTTCAAAAACATCTGAAAACAGTTGGATTATCTGAGATGTCCTATATGGATAGTGGTTGCCTCTGGTCCCAGATTGCAGACCCTAGACAGAGATATTTGCATGGCATTTCTCAAGGAAGAGGGCATCTACCTTTCCTGGACTGTCAAGGTCTAGATGGGCTAGCGTCTCCTCTTCATCTCCTTCCTGAAGATCCAGTGTGCTACCCAGAGTCAGATCTCAGTGTCTAACATATTCTAATGTGAGAAAAGTTCCTGGTGTCCTCTATCTCCAAGGTGAGAACTGCGCCTGATTTCAGCACAATTTACTTGCTTCTTTCCATGGTCATGGAGGCAGGTACTGTTGACCTGACCTCATGATCAATGGATGTGGGAACAAATGACCAACATACAGATCTCAGAGGAAGCTGTGATGTACCACAGATGAAGTCCCTATAGCACTGTCCAGCAGGGACATGCCCAAAATGGCCACGATGAGCCACAGGGCTTTTCTACCATTGGCATCTCCCTCAGAAGACACCTGACACCACAGAGGCCAGCATTCAGTATCTTCTGGGGTCCTATGAGAAACCCCCAACCTCAGAAGATGCTACTCCAGGAAAAAGGGATGCAGGAAAGTTTTCTGCCATGCATCCATTGCTTCATAAACCTGGTATAGAGCACAGATCGTACCCTGTGCCAGTGAAGGCAGTGGACAGTGTGGTCCTCAGTAAGCATACAGTGTGCAGCCCTCAAGGATAGGTAAGCCATGCAGCCTGTGGGAGTGAGCATGTTCAGAGAAGCAGCTGCAATTGAGCTAGATGGTGGTGATCAGGAATGAAACAGATGAGCATGTCAGAGTGTCGAGTCTCTAGAATGATAGCACTCAGGGCATTTGATCCTGGGACCATCTTTATTTTTTAAGGTAAAACTCTCTTACAAGTCACAGAACACCATGCAGTTGGCCCAAGGCCATCCATTGGCCAGGAGCACTTGTAGCATTCAAATTCATGTCTGCACCTGTTCTGTGCCCTCAGTGAGGCGTGGACTCAAGGACAAGGCCTTGGCCGTAGTTCTCAGCACACAAGCGTCGCTCATTCAGCACATTATCTCTCCCACCATGGGAAAATAGCCGAGGTTTGGATGCCATTTCTCCTGTAGGCCAGTGGTTCTCAACCTTCCTAATGCTGCGACCCTTGAATACAGTTCCTCATGTTGTGGTGACCCCTAACCACAAAACGACTTTTGTTGCTACTTTATAACTGTAGTTTTGCTACTGCTATGAGTCCTCATGTAAATATC